AGGGGTTTTACCCCAGTCCCGGTCCCAGTTTTTTCTGCCTACTGTCCTACTTCTGTAGGAGGCTGTATAAAACCCTGTTTAGTCAAGAATTATGGAGAGGCTGTGTCCGTCAATTAATTCAGAGAAAGGGATTTTTCCACACACCAAAAATAGTTTATCTGGCCACTTTCCCCCTCCGCATAATTAAGGGTAGTGGATTGTATTGCCCACACTGCTAAAAAACACTAGTGCATACACCATTGCAGCACAGTCGTGTGAACTGGCCTCATAGGGTAAAAGGCCTTTTACCTTGTCTTGCACTGGGTCTGTGTTAGGCAAAGCTGCTCAGTGCAGTCCAACGGACCTGGTGTGAACAAGCTCTAAGCATTTAAATTGAACCCTCACCCACAAGTATGACTCCCTTTCCTCTGACTTCTCAGCCTGGGGTCCCCTGCCGGCGCACAATAGGGGGAAAAAATATTTTTTTAAACAATACATTTTTTTTTTCATTCATACACTTCATGTGAATGGGGTTCATGTGATTCCGCACATGCGCACACATGTCCAATGGCTCTGCAAGGTACCATAGACCTGAGGTACCATAGACCTGGCAGAGACTTGCAACTTGTTTGCTGTTGCATGAGATGTTGGGACAAGATGGCAACGTCAGAGTACAGCACCAAAGAAGAACATTGTGCATGAAAGAGGGCAACACTGGATTCCAAAGACTAATATGTATATTTTTTTTTCAATACAGGAACAGTTACCAGATTTACCAAAAATAGCAGGGGCAATCCACTTTAAGAACTGATATGAGTCAGTTAAAGTGATATATAATTCACAGTTGACAGAAATCACCAAGACACAGGTCAGCATTTCAAATGACATTATTATATTAAATTCCTTTTTCCACCATTATCCTGACCTAGGGTTAGGATCGCATGGTCTTTAGCTAGCCGCAACACTATGGGTGTTCCATGTCTTTGGAGACTGCTGAAAATCTGTTGTTTTCAAACTGTCCATGTCTGATGTAGTGAAATATAGTATACATATTGTACAGTATGTAATAAACAAACAGGTCTTCCCTATGCTCATTTTACTGCTGGCGATCCAGACATCAGGGGTGCTGAAGAGAAAGTAGTGACTGGAGCTACTTCTATCCACTCCTTTATGGAGGTTTTGGCAACTAGCAAAGGAACACAACTCCCAATCGCAAATGTGTCATTAAAGGGAACCTGCAAGGGAGAATGTTACCAGCACACTGAGGATCACCAATATGGGTCCAAATCTGGACAGAAACTGGAAATATTTATATCACCAGGAATGCAGTTTATGCACATCTGATTGTTTTTTGGTTTATTTATTTTCGCAGTTTATAATGTTTCTGTTTACATTGATTTGAATGCATTTTTGGAGGGAACATGACATCATGGGGCAGGGTCATTTTAATTCACTGTGAGTGGCGGATGATTTTCTTAAATAGTTTTCCAGTTTTTAATCACAATTTGTCACATGCCTGATGAAGGTGTCCTTCGAGACTCCGAAATGTTGCCTTGCTATAACTATGTGATCCTTCATTAAAACTTTCTGACCCATATTGGTGATCCTCGGTGTGCTGGTCACATTCTTCCTTGCTGATTCTGTTTGTTCCAGGCGATGGTCACTGCAGCACCCCCTTATACACACAGCTATTTTTAACGCAACAACGTGTGCATTTGGATTGTACACTTGCTTAACCGCTTCCCGGTCGCCCTATAGCAGATATACTGCTACAGGGCAGCACGGGTGCAAAATATCAAGTATATCTACATGATTTTGCATTTTTGGGTAGGGGGTGCGTCCATTCGTGGTAGTGGCTGTCAATCACCAGGTCCCGGCTGGTGATTACTCGCCGGCGCCCGGTGATTGCCAAGCATCTCCAAGCATCTCCGACGTGGAGGAGAACTGTAAACAAAACAATTCTCCCTGTCAGCTCATGCACAGCACAGCCATCCAAAGCAGTGTTCTTACAGTGAAGCACACAGACACAGCACTATGTAAAACAGCACACAGCTAACCCTTTGATCGCCCTTCATGTTAACCCACAGTGTCAGTGGTTTTTTTTAGCACTGATCACTGCATTGGTGTCACTGGGGATGTAAGTCAGTTCTCCTCGGTGTCAGAATGCCCTCCGCAATCCCACTATAAGTCGCTGATCGGCGCCATTACTAGTAAAAATTAAAAAAACAATCCCAGTATATATACCGCCATTTGTAAACGCTATAACGTTCACGTAAACCAATTATTTTACACGTATTGGGATTTTTTTTAGCAAAAACATGTAGAAGAATACATTCTGGCCTAAATTTATGACGAAATTAGATTTTTTTTAATTTTTTTACTGGACAAGTTTAATAGCAAATATTGTTTTTTTTCTCAAAATTGTTGCTATTTTTTTTTAGAGTGCAAAAATAAAAAGGCACATACCACCAAAAGAAAGCTCAATTCGTGGGAATAAAAGGACGTACATTTCATTTGGGTGCAGAGTTGCATGACCGCGCAATTGTCAGTTAAAATATCGCACTGCCGTAACATAAAAAATAGCCTGTCAGGGAGGGGGGTAAATACTCAGGAGGGCAAGTGGTTAAAGGGAATCTGTCTTTGGCGACCAGCTTCTGAAAATGTTAGCTGTTTGGCTGTCAGACACTGATACCATCCAAGGCACTGACCTGGAACAAATGTGCAGCTGTGACTTATATTTGTTCAAGTTCACTTAATCAGAACATATAAAAGCTACAGAATTAACATGACAGACAAATGCTATATTATTTCTTCGGGACCCCCGCTCAGGCTGTTGGTTTTGTGTGGGATGGATGCTGTTGAAACAGTGAGACCCAAGGCATGCAAGCAAAATTAGAGATTTCCTGATTGCTGCAAACTTCACATGGCCAAGTAGTAGACAGTTAAAAGCAGCCTCAGCTCAGTCCTCCAAGGCCATAGACCCAACGTGTTTCACACCACCCCCAGGGCTGAATCTTGGATGTCCATAATTAAACCCCGAGAGTGGGGTGAAACGCATTGGTGTCGAGGCCTTGATGGACTGAGCTGAGGCTGCTTTTACCTGTCTACTACATGGCCGGGAGAAGTGTGCGGCAGTCGGCAAACCTCCGCTTATTTTGCTTTTATGACAGACAGCTATAATTTTCTTTAGGTGGACAGCAGTGGCAATCCCTCTGTATTTCATGCCAGTTTTCCTTTGACCAAATTAATTTTAATGGTTTGAACACCAAAAGGTGCAAAAGGTGAACTTATCCATTAATGCATGAAATTGAAAAACCTTCTGTGCTGCAGGATCCCCCCCCAGCCCCTCTTTATACTTAACTGAGCTCGATCCGATCCAGCAATGTGAACAAGAGCAGTGGCTCTTGCTGCTGTGTCCCTCCTCCCAGGGCAGATTGATAGGCTCCCACTGCTACCAATCAAATGCTATGCCAAACCAGCGTAGGTGGGGCCAAGCTGGCTGCTTTGTGTCAATGGATGCAGGCAGGGTGGCTCAGGATCGAGCTCGCACAGGTGCCCCCATGGAAAGTCCCCCATGGAATGCCACTTTCCATGGGGGCACCCGCCAAAGAGGAGAAGCCTGGAGTGCCAGCAGGGGACTCCAGAAGAGGAGGATCAGGGCTGTTCTGTGCAATATTGCACAGAGCAGGTAAATATGACATGCTTGTTATTTTAATTAGAAGGTTTAATGTCACTTTAAAGCTTTTCTAAACCCAAGAACAAACACATAATATATTGCTGCTTACCAGTCCCTAGATGTGGTGGCTGCATTTGTTTCCTTTTACCAGTGTTTTTTTCTCCTTTTACCAGCTGGTGACCTGCCAGTAACACACTTCCTGTCCTAAGGTGACAGCACTCAGCACATTCATTGTATTGTATTTATAGAGGAACAGCATTGTCACCCTTGAATAGTAAGTGAGTTAAAGTGAGAGGGCATGTGATCAGCACAGGGCTAATCAGCGCTGTCCAGACAGGGGGTCAAGGGTTACGCAGCCTCATAGGACAATCCAGAGAGAAATAAAACTCCTCTTTCTTTAACCAGTGCGCTGCTGGACACTGATAGAAGTCACAAGACTGCTCTAACTGCTGATGAGAAAAGGTATTTAGCAGTTTATATTTACTAAAATAATTGCATGTCCATGTTCTGTGTGAATGCAAGGTCCTGAGTTTAGTAATTTTAATAGCAACTCTGGGAATACCAGGAAAACTTTAAAAACAAGCCTTTTATTTACCAGCAACTTAGACTCGTGACTGAAAGCTAAGTGTCTGAAAAACATCTTAAATGGTGTATATACCAACAATTACGTCACAATGCATATATTTCCTCTTTACTTTTCTGCACCGTTAAAATACATTCTTATGTATTTATGTATGAGAAGTTAGCCTTTACAGTTTCACATTTAGATAAAATATCTCCAACTGCTGCTAGACTGTTCCAAAGGAAATGAGGGGGAGGAAGTGAGCTGATGAGCTGGTTCTGCAAACAGATGCTTTTAGAAATGTTAAAGCTTAAAGGGGAACTCTGAAATATTTGGGTGGTGCCACAGTAACTCTTTAAGACTACAAAACACTTAGCCCTCTCCTCATTATTAACTCATTTAGCACTCTGATAGTACTGCTAAAAAGATAATATTGCAAAGTTCAGGAATAGCAATGGATTTGTGACATGATCAGCAGGTTTCCTTGCACATACTGAAAAGATATAACAAAATGCTTTTAGTAATATATTTGATGGCCCAAATGGAAGCAAATAAAATCCGTTTGTTGTTAGAATTTGTTTACAATATAATGTAAACCTGAGGGACAGAAGCCTATAGAGTAGGTCCTCTCAGGCAGTGCGAGGTCAGAGGGGACACTATGAGACCTAGATATGGAAGAGGATAGCCCAAGCTTGTGGTTTCCTGTGATGTTGAAGAGGGGAATGGGGGCACTTAGAAACAAGCAAACATGATGCCCCCTGCTCTCATGGTGCCCACTGCAGTTCATCCCTTCTGCCCAAGGTCTTCTGTGAATTTCTTGACTTTTAGCAGGTACTCAGCATTCACTGTGGGGCGAACCATAGCCAGAGATTGTAGCATATCAGACTGTGAAGCAAAAAAAGACTGTCAGTAGGTTGGCAATGAGGGAACCTAAATAAAACCCTTTAGCAAACAAAGCAATTAGGAACATGAAAATAGACTGAATATGGAAAGCATAAATACATGGAGGGACATTTAGCAAGCAAATTAGCAACACGATTAATCGCAATCAGGCTGCATCTCTTTCAGCAAAATCTTTGTGACAGTTTTTGCTGATTTTTAGGGTGAGGTAGATTTTGCATAATTAAGAAGTGGCCAGGGTCAGGTTTAAATCAGCCACAAGTGCAACTTTAGAGTAACCAAAGGAGGAATATATAATGATTTTATTGAAATACAAGCAAAGGTATACAATCTGAGCGCAGTAGTTACAACTGTAATTGCATACTACATTGGATTGCCTGCAGGGCCAAAATCTCAAATTAAGTACAAAAAAACAAAAATGTACAGTAATTGATCATGGTATCATAAGGCTTTAATAGAACAAGCTTTCAATTCCTTAAAGCGGAATGATACCTAGAATCCAGCGATGAGCCATCTACTGAACTCACTGCCGGCCGCTGACATCTTTAGGCAGTAGGCTTCTGGGACTCATTTGGCAGCCATTGTCAGTGGCTGGGCAGGGGTTACATCACTCCCACGCATGCACGGTAGTTCCGTTAGATCTGGCAGTGCCTAATCTGTGCAGGGAGCTGCGCTTGCGCAGCTTATTATACAGGGACGGGCAGGCCCATATTCATTATGGAGACTATAGCTCTACTTTAAGTATTGTAAATGTAATATGGTTATTTTTAAATCTCATTGGACTGAAAAAACTCACTCGCTGAAAATGAAAATAAGTATTCTTTTCCTGGTATGTTAGCTTTGTGAAGTGAGCTCAATGTTAGGGGGAATTACCAAAGACCGTTTAAGCTTTATGCCTGCACAATTCTTCTAAGCTGAGAAAATGAAACAGATCCTTCTCCTAATTAACAAAAGCCCCTTTGTAATTAGGAGCGATCTGCTCCATGTTGTATGCCATATCTGTGACAGACATGGCAGAGAACAGTTTAATTGTAGCTGTGTGCTTCAAATCCTTCTGTCTGCTCTTCTCCCCCTTGCTTGCTCAACTGGGAGACGTAGGGGGGGAGAAGAGCTGTTAACCCTGCAAGTTCTGCTTATGTATGGACAGAAAGGCATGTGAGCTGTCTGCAGACAGTTTACATCTCATATGTGTAGCACATTCATAGTTAGGTGCTAGGCTTTCAGGTATTTGTTTTTTGGCTTGTTTGTGGAGTTCAGTGGAGAGGTGTGTGATTGCTCTGGCTTCACTGGCTATGGGTTTGAGTGCTTCCCACTGCCTTCTGGATGGTTCTCGAAGTAGTGGGCTGGGGGAAGCAAATCAGTAGCTGAATATTTATGTTGTCTCAGCCATTCCCTAGGGGAGGGTATCCAGATGGTGGCTGGGAGTAAGCATAAATGATCTACAGCCTTGAGCTACCCTGTTCCTTTCCAGGAGGAGATGTTTCCAGCCTGGAGGGCTGCTGCCCTCTCAAGCAGTCCAGCTGACATTTGCCAGGAGATCATCAAGGCCTTAGCCCAGGGGTGGGCAAACTTTTTGACTTGAGGGCCGCAATGGGTTCATATATTGGACCCGGGGGCCGGACCAAGAGTAGATGAATGATGTGTATGTGTCATCCATAGTAAGTATAGTAATATTCCCCCATAGTAAGCATAGTAATTAATCCCCCATATAGTAATTCATCCCCCATAGTAATTCATCCCCCATATAGTAATTCATCCCCCATATAGTAATTCATCCCCCATAGTAATTCATCCCCCATATAGTAATTCATCCCCCATAGTAATTCATCCCCCATATAGTAATTCATCCCCCATATAGTAATTCATCCCCCATAGTAATTCATCCCCCATATAGTAATTCATCCCCCATAGTAATTAATCCCCCATAGTAATTAATCCCCCATATAGTAATTCATCCCCCATAGTAATTCATCCCCCATATAGTAATTCATCCCCCATAGTAATTCATCCCCCATAGTAATTCATCCCCCATATAGTAATTAATCCCCCATATAGTAATTCATCCCCCATAGTAATTCATACCTCATAGTAATTCATACCCCATAGTAATTCACCCCCCATATAGTAATTCATCCCCCCTATAGTAATTCATTCCCCATATTAATTCATCCCCCATATTAAGTCCCCAAGTCCCCCCCGTGTCAATTCACTTACCTTTGCTCCGCGCGTTCCTCTCGCCGTGTTCCCGCGCCGTTCCGGTGTAGCATGAAAATCTGTCCCCCTTGACGTATCTGCGCATGTGCCAGTTTCAGGCATTAGCAGCCGATCGGCGATCTCCAGCACATGCGCAGATACATCGAGGGGGACAGATCCTCATAGGAGACAGATTTTCATGCTACACCGGTCTTCAGGGCGGGCTGTGAGAGGAGCCTAGCTCCCCTCGCGTTCGTCACGCTGCCCCGCCTACACACATCCTGACAGCCATCCTGACAGTATCACGCTCCGCGGGCCGGAATAAAAGGTCCGCCGGGCCGTAGTTTGCCCATTGCTGCCTTAGCCTATGCTAAAGCTGGGCGCCTACTTGCTAAGAAAATCTGAAGCTAAAGGAGAGTCCACTAAAGAAATGTCTGCCTGACACTGAAAGGAGGCATCCAGATACTCAAGGGCTTATGAGTACAGACCTGAGTCAGAATCTGGGTAACTGTTGCTGCTGTTAACCCCTTGGTACACTGATGCTAAGGCTTGCCTATGTCACCCAAGTGACATTTTATAGTATTCCCCTTCGCTTCCTTCCTTGGCAGCTACATAAAAGGTTATGTAGGGAGGGGAGAAGAGGCGTGAAGGATCTAGGCAACACAAACACTGAGGGCTTGCGAAGCTTGGCCAGCATTAAGCCAGGTACACACATCAGAATTCAGCTTGTTCCTGTTCTGTTCAGCTGCTTCGATTTGTGTGTATTTTGCTCTTAAATGGGCCTACTGGAAAACCAGCATTCAGTCAGCTGCTGAAACCAATTGAGTCCACACTGTCAGAATACAATAGCACAGCAGAGAGGGTGATATCCTGCATCCACATCACTTTTGTGGATGGTGGAATCTGTGAGTTTTTTTTTCTTGTTCAACCTGTTGGTTGAACAAACAAAAAACTCATTGTGTGTACCCAGCCTAAGACACTCCCAGAAGACGAGAGGAATATAATATGGCAAGAGGGAGGGACTGTGCCTAGAGAACACAGAGTATAAGCATTGGTGATTGGACCATAATAGTTTTGTGTCTGCAAAAAATGCTATTCAAATTAATTACTGTCCGTAATTTTAAAAGGGCACCCCATTCTAATATGTGAAAAAACTATTGTAATAGTTTTATATAACGCAGTAACATCCACACATGTAGGACACCCAACATTAGAGGTGATTTATTCTTCCAAAGCAAATACACCTTTGCACACTGGTACTGACTAGTATTCCATTGTTTCTCCTCTTCCTCAGTTTTTCTCCATCACTGAGCTAATGTGACCCCCTTACAGAAGGAGAGGGGCAAACTAGGATGCTGTGCAGGCTGCTGACATCCTCCTTATCAACTGATGATGTCATTGGTTGTCAGGACGCTGGTGGCTAAAAGGTCGTAATGGTGCACAATGAAAACCTGTGGCTTTGTGTAACTAAATAGCAGGCTTGTATACTAGCAAGTTCCACCTGCTGGCTTGTATACAAGTTTTGGGCAATGTTTAGACATTTTGCCAAGGCATCCCTGTGGAAACCTCAAGGCGCTCATGAGGAAACCTCAAGGCACCCCAGGGTGCCTGGGTACCCTGGTTGAGAAAGGCTGGTATAGATCACTCATCACTCCTGATCTTCAGCATCCTTCTTTGGAAGTTTGGGGCTGTAATGGAGCACTAATACTGGAAAATAAAAAACAGCAAAACTTTTACAAATGTATACATTTCTTGCTTCCTGTCTTTGACTAACCTATAAAACTGTAGGGTACAATTGGGATTTAAAAACATTTTGTTTAATACTATACCACATGCACTTTGATGATACAAGGGACAATATATCATGGAATAAATATCTTCAAATGCTATTGATACATGTGCAACAATATACAGTAGCTTATCCTTACCATGCAGACAACAGGCTCCTGTAGTTTATCATCAGGCACCTCCATCCAGGTCATCTCAGTGGCTCCAGAGTCTATTGGGGAACACGGTGTTAGGAGGTCATCCATCATGACACCAGGGTTAGTACGAGAAGGGCCTCGCACCTAACATATACAAAATATCTGATTTAGAACTTTTTCACAGTATTTGATATCCAGGCTTTGCATACACACTGTACCTTTTTAAAATGTGTGGCTGATTGTACTTTAAGCACAGTCTGCATCTGTGCCTGGCGCACAATGATTATGATATCTGCACATGAGTATCCCTGTGTCTTGTTGGCCAACTCACGGATGTTGTCATCATTTAGACTGTGTGAGGTGTTACATAAGTGCAGGCTGAGCATCTGAGCTCGGGCAGTCTCATTTGGCAGTGGAATGTAAATCTGCTTCTGGAACCTAAAATTTAGGAACAATAAAATAAGATAGTGTATTATTACTGAATTGACAAATAGGCAAAGCACATGTTCAGTTAATGGTACAAAATATCGGGTAACATCTTATTTTACTAGTTTATTGTTTCCTCTGCTTTTACAAGTTTGCTTTTAAATATACCAAGTCCTAAAGACATACAGTATAAGAAGGAAGAATGCCCATCGCTAGCATTTCCCCATGCTGCAGTAGAAATATGAAAGGGAGAAGCTAACTGTAGTTTATAGTAAGCAGAAGACTGCAAGGGAAGAGTTAATGCTTGGAAAAGGAGGCGCTAATCTCACCTTCTGCAGATAGCAGAGTCTAGTATCCATGGTCTACTTGTAGCTCCCAGGAGCAGAATACCATTGTTGTTATTGTCAGATTCTAAGAGCCAAAAACAGAACCAAGAGTTTCAATTTTATTTTTTTGGGCCAAGTATGTATAGATTAAATGCAGCAGGGAAAAGTCAGGTCACCAGCCTATCTCTGATGTCTGACAGGGCTAGCAAATCTCAAGACTGAATAGACAGAATTAGAAATCTTTTGACAGCTAAAACCTGAAATAATGGAGGGCCCCTTACCCTGCATCTGCAGCAGGAGTTCAGTCTTGATTCTGCAAACAGCATCACCACCAGCTCCATTCTCAAAGTCACACAGCATGTCGACCTCATCAATGAAAATGATGGCTGGTTTATGTTGTCGTGCTAATTCAAACAGATTCTTCAGCAGCCTGTAATAAATGTGAATACACAGTGTGTCCACATCAAATCAAAAGGTCAGTTTGCTTAAGGTGATTGTTAGTTCCATCCAGTAGATATAATATGTTATTTTTCTGAAATACATCAATAAACAAAAATAGCATTATGGACACTAGAAGGAGCGAACGATCATACGATATTAAAGAACAGAAGAAGTCAGGGACGTAACGCGTAAGTCGGGGTGCTGAATCTTGGCAGTGTTAGGAGGAAAAAGGATGTTCCAGCAGCAGCTCTGCTTAAAGTGGAGCTCCACCCAAAGGGGGAAGTTCCGCTTTAAAGGCTGGTCCCCCGCCGCTCCCCATTAGGAATTGACACTTTTGGGGAGCGGGGGGGTACCCAAAAATTACAGGTACCGGCTCACCACACCTAGGCGATTGGAGGCGGAAGTTGTCCTCCTACCCTTGCTCCCCGTAGTTTTCTGGGACACGTGACAGGTCCCAGAAGACTACAGAGCCATTGAGGAAGCGCAGCGTTACTCGCTTATGTGCAGTGGGCACCTGGATGTGAAGCTGCAAGCTGTCACAGACAGGTGCCCACACTGAAGATGCTGGTGCCTGAAACACAGCTGGTGAAACAGGCTGTGGGGAGGACACCGCGTGATCGTGGGACAGGTGAGTGGCTGTTTTTTAAAAGTCAGCAGCTACAGTTTTTGTATCTGCTGACTTTTATTTTTTTACAGTGTGAGTGGAACTCTGCTTTAAGTGAGGAGATTGTGAGCTGTCAGCCTGATTCAGCTGCAGTGGTGAACCTGTTGCCAATGTCACTGCCTCTAGCACTTAATTGAGGAGTTCTTTGTGTTGCTTTGAATGTGAATGTTTTTTTAATAAAGGCTTGGTTTTTAAGGTATACAGAAAGCACTATATTTTGTCTCTTTTCTTTTTTGAGTTATATTGCTGCATTTCTCCTTGCATTGGATGCCTTAGAAAAGGGAGAGTCTGAAATACAGCCTGTTTCGGCTCTTAAAGGATACCCTGCTATTTTGAATTTTTTAGATTTAAAGGTCCAATGAAGAAGGTGAGAGTCATCCCACTGAGATTTCAAGGTGGTGAAATGTGTACTTAATGTTGGATTCACTGTTATCCTTGTCTATTTTTGATGGATGCATGTCACAGATTCCTATCATCTCCACCAAATCACAAATACAGTGCTGAGGACGTTACTCATCTCATCAAATTCATGCTAACAGACAACTATTTTACTTTCGACAATTACATTTATCTTTTGTGTATGGGTACTGCTATGGGAGTAAGATGGCACCACAATATGTTATTTATTGCAGACCTGGAGAATAAATTCCTTAGGAGGTTTAAAACAAAATATATACTGTATATATATATATATATACACACACACACATACGCTATTGCTATATTGACGATATTTTCATCATTTAGACAGAAAGGGAGGAACATCTATATAAAAATTGCTTTTTGGTTAAACTGTTGCCACAACATTTCATATTCCTGATATGTGTCTGTTGTTCCATTGTTAAGAAGTATCCTGTTCTCTTTGCATTGGTTCCTGCCAATACCCCTGCTTTCCTATTTCAAACTGACAACGCTAGGCATGGAAGCTCATCCATTCCAGTGTGGTCAGTTTGCTGGCTTTGCAGGGAGAACAGCCTGCCTGTCCTCCAATTATAAGACTTGTGCTGACACATTTTCCCCCCCCCCTCCCCCCCCCCCCTACACACACAGCCACTTCATTGCGATGATCAGTGTGATGCTCTTGCTGACACACCCCCTGAAGTCTTTTTGCCCTGCTTTTTAAGCCCCTTATGCAGGTGAGAACAGAGATTATGTGATCACTAATAAAAAAAAGGTATTTATAAAGTTTTATATTATATATATATATAATTTTCTTTTTGCACAGTGAATATATATATATATATATATATATACATACATATACACATACACACACACAAATATTTTGCCTCATTTCTATTTTAAACTGAATGGTTGTTTTTTCTTCCTTCATTTAAACTATTCAAACAAATATGTGAACTTTCAAGACACTAAAGTGTCAATTAGGGATAACAAACTGCACCTTATTTTATATTGATGTTTTGGAGGTTATTTTGGTATCCTTTGGTGTTTCAGCAGCTTCTGGACTTTTAGCACTCACTTGCTCTATTTTGAGTTTTTACTTAGTGTATATAGGAAATAGACACCATAGACCTTCTCTGGTCCAGTCTTTCGACTGCCCTCTTCAATAACTGCAGAGACCCTAGGCTGAAATACCTGCATAATTTGACTCAGTTGCTGTGCTTCCACCATAAAACTCCCCCTTTCCAAGCCCACTCTTCTTCCGGCCTCAGTCTCCACTTCTCCAGTCTTGACTACCCCATTCAGTTCCCTTGTTTTCAATATGGACTGAAGTTGTTGTTTTTTTCGGTCCCTCTCTCATTTACTTCTTCTACTGCTGCTTTTCCACAGAGGATTCATTTCCTAGCAGTGGGGTGAAGTACAAAGTGAAGTGGCCACTGTCATTATATCCAGCCTTCTATAGCGAGGTCATTTAAAGTTCTAAAGGCATAAGATTTTTTTACCTTAATGCTTTCTATTCATGGGTGTCACAGGGAATCTCCCTAATTGGTTCAGCAATAAAAATAAGTCAGAAGTTCGAGCCCACCTCCATTCTATTTTAAAAAAAAAAAGTTTAGGCTGAGGTTGGGCTTTAAGCTACGTATCCACATACTTATCATTCTCTCCCAGCCACTTAGACATTAGGTCAGAAGAAGACACAGAGAAGAAGGCAGAGTTACTGGTTTCAGTGGCCATAGCTTTAACCAAGTAGGTCTTTCCTATTCCCGGAGGTCCAAATAACAAGATACTATTCCAGGGAGTACACTTTCCTGGAAAGAAAAATATGAAAGTTTGTGAATAGAAGCATAATATAGATATAATGCAAGATAGAAGACACAAGTCAATACATTTAGCAAGAATTCCAAAACTTTTACATTTCTGGTCCATGTGGGTATATTTTTTTCTCTTGGAGATAACTAAGACTTTCTATGTGTGTGCAGTAGTACTCATTTTTTTTTTAGTTGTGTTTGCTGCCGCCTCCTTAACAACCATGACTCTGCAGGATTCCTCGCTGACAGCAGAATGTAAACAAACAAGAGCCAGCTTTAACAATTATAAAAAACAGTGCGGGAGTCCCCCCAATCCCTACCAGGCTCTTCGGATCTCGTATGGCTTTTGAGGGGAACCCCATGCCAAATTTTAAAGAAAATGTGTGTGGTCCTCCCCAAAATACATATCCAAGCATGCAGCCCTTAAGGCCAGGAAAGGGGGGGAGAGCCCCCCCTCCTGGACCATACCAGGCTAAATGCCCTTAGCATTGGCGGTGCTTTGGGGCAGGGGACTCCCCCTCCAAAGCACCTTGTCCTCACGTTGATGGGGACAGAGGCCTCTTCCCTGCAACCCTGGACAGTGGTTGTGGGGTCAGCTGGTGGGGGGCTTATCAGAATCTGGAAGCCCCCTTTGACAATGGGGCACGCAGATCTCACCCCCCCCCCATGTGAATGAGCATGGGGTAGTACCCCTACTTATTCACCAAATAAGTATCAAAAATGAATTAAAACACAAACAAAGCTTTTGACAAAACCAAAACAATGTTCCCCAAAGTAAATCCAGCATCAATCACAATGATCACCAGCAAAAACAACAAAAAAGAGATGTGCATCCGACGCTTGTCTCCCAGAGACTGAGAGCTCTGGTTTTAAACAAAGGGGTGGGGTCACCCATGAATGAGCTTTTTACTTACTGCAATAGCCTGAAACTCTTCTAAGCTGGCTAGGTGGGTTGCTGGGTTTTTTTTAAAATCAGTTTTCTTAATTAGTTTTCAGAATGTAAAACAAACAAGCAAAAAAAAAACCACCACCATTCTCTTCTTACAGTCTCACATGCAAACTATACATTTCTTGTTTTCTAAAATCTTACAAGACAGCGTTATATAGCATCTCCAGCAGTATGAATTACCAAAACAAGGTTAAACACTTTTCAGTACTGTAAGGGAAATACCACAACTCCAAACTGGCCAAAAGTATAAAGAAAAGTTCATCCCCAGATACCTACAGTATTTTAACACTTTTTGTATGCCTTCAGCAATGCATTGATTAAATAATAACTGGATGGATACATTTCCTCTGCTCCATTCCTTTCTCCTGCAGATCAGATAACCCATAAACTGTGGGGAAAATACCACAACTCCAAGCTGGCCACAAGCATAAAGAGAAATTCATCCACAGATAACTTTTTTTTTAACATTTCCTGCATGCCCTGAGCAATGGACTGATTAAAAAAATGATTGGTTGGATATTTTGTATAGGAACTATCAACTGTCCCCAGCAGTACATTTACTCCAATCCAACCTACCCCACCATGAAAACACCATTCCTATCAGTTACTATAAGCAAGAAAGAAGGCGCCAATATAAGCCTTTTTTGCTATAGTATCAGCACTAGGGAGGTTAGTCACATTCTCCTTAGATACCTGGAAATACCAAGTATTTTCTTTACATTCAGCAGATGAACAGAGCAATGGGGGAATAATTGAAAGGTTATAATGCAATGCTGAGGAGCTGACCAACCTGTTGTTTGGCCCTGTGTGATCATAGGTTTGTTTTTTAAATATATTTTCTATATTAGCCATGCTTGTTTCCTAGAGACCTTGTAGAAAAATGTAAAATCTGTTTATTAGGTTTGGGCTCTCCTCCCCCTGTATCAGCCAGTTACTTACTTGACCTTAGCTGATTGTATGCCATCCCCACTTGAATGGCTATATTGAGGAATCTGTCCAGACAATATCCACTTAGGTTAGTGCTGCATGCCCATCGGTGGCCCACGCATCCATTCTGACATAGGGGGTCCTATACCTGGTCGCAGCAAGCTACTCATCAGGGCTGTTCCAACAGCCACGGTCCCACTGAGCACAGGAAGGCAAGATTGGCTGCAATCTATATCCCCTGGACATGTCCAAGAGTCCAAGGAATTGTGAGTAAAGGAGTTAAAGGGCCCTTCAAGCACAGAGAAGGTTTTTATAGGGACACTCTGCCACAACAGTACTTCAAAAATGTAGCTGTAAGGAAAAAAAAGTTAGATTATTTACTTATCTTACCATATGGCCAGGGTGACATTATTCTCCTTCAGGCAAGATCCTGGGAAATACATAGCATCAGAAAAAGATGCTTTTGCATTGGACTGGAGTGTCTTCTTGTGAGATTTAGGGTTCTTATTATTCTCCAAGAATCCACCATCCAATTTAACTTAAACCTGAAAACATATATTTGCAAGATACTGGACTTTAGTTCTGTTTCATATAACCAGGACAACTGTATTCGGCCTTTACACATACAGTAGGTTTATAGAACCCTGAAGCCCTTCCCTCTGCACTCTTCTCTTTGATGACAGTGGTTTGCATATAGTTTGATGCCAAATTACAAGCTGAGTATTGCATGGAGTGTTGCATCCCCAACATCCACTTTGTTTTAGTGTTTTTCCTTCGGTATGATGCATTCAAAATGCCATATGTATGAAGGACTACCAAGCTTACAATAATAGTGATAGCTTTGCCTCAAAGATTCCTATGAGTTATTTTGGAAGTACTGACCTAAGGAATTCATGGGTAAAATGACAGCCTTTTTCAAAGCTTCCTTTGCTTCTTGCAGCCCAGCCACATCTTTCCAGCAGACATCTGGCTTCTCCATGATGATGGAATCTGTTGCAGTATAGAAAGAATGACTATAAGAGGTGGAAAGTCTATATCACAAAAACAGATTAGAAGACATTCATACTAACAAATGGCACTAAAGCAGTCTTTCTCAACTTTTTTTTTTTTTGTAACACAGATGAACCTTTAAAATAACTTTGCAGTCACAAACACACTGAATGTTTCAGGTTTAACCTTCACACCTGCTATGACTAAGTGCAGTGATAAAGGAAATTGTGCCATATGGACTATCTTCTTTTTTTTAGAATTATTATTATTATTATACAGGATTTATATAGCGCCAACAGTTTGCCCAGCGCTTTACAATATAAAGGGAGACAATACAGCAACAATACAGTTCAATACAAGAGGGATAAGAGGGCCCTGCTCCTTGGAGTTTACAATCTATAATCAGGTATTTATTAAAAACAAAAAAACCCAAAGAGCATTTATAGCACAAAACTCTACAAGAACACAAAGGTGCACATAGACATTGATCAAATATGCGGCAAAAGAGGTAGCTGGTCAGTTAATGTATGACCAGAAGTGTGTAATACAATCATTGTATATCCTCTAATTGGCATCAGAAATGTAGATCATTGATATGTCAGCCAGTGCACATCAAATAAAGCACAGTATTGCATACAGTACTGGAGACAGAACTAGTAGAAAAACAAACGTTACAAACCAGAAACCTAAGGAAATGATTCCCAGGGAAATAATCATATAAAAGATTTTAGTAGTTCACGTCCAGGTGAGTTAAAGAGACTGCATTGCTTAATGATGAAACCTGTAACTCTACTTAAAAAAAAAAAAAAAAAAACCAGCAGTCCACCCATTCATACAGACTCTCAGTCATCCGGGATCTCATTGGAATAATACATCCAGCCCATCCACACATCCCTGAATTTATCCAGCTGTTTTTTAACCATATGTACCAAGCGTTCCGCTTCCATAGTAGCGTTCACCTCTCATTTTGCACTGTTTTTACTACAGTTAATTCACACATGCTTTCTCAAGAAATGCTTCTTGTGAGAATTTTCAGTATTAGCTGCTCTGGCCATTGTTTAACTTCTGTCTGAAGATGTTATTCTGTACTCTCTTTGCCATCACTACCACATGTCTCCTGCCACCCACCATTTTTCCTATTCTGGTAGATTTGGCCAACCTCTGATCCCTTCTGTTTTCTTTTGACCCAGAAATCTCTTTTTTAATTTTGTCTACAAGAGCCCTCTCTACCCCTTACAAAAGCATTTCTGTGCCTAACACATTAAATCCTGTCCTCATGGCAGACTGTCATGGACAGGAGTCCACCCCTACTAGGGGCAGACTAGCTGGCCAGGATATGCCTAGATCAATTGGGGCGGGCAGTGGTGTAAACCCCAGAAGAGACAGAGGATTTAATTTTCTAAAATTAAATGACAGCACCAAACATCGCAATAAAAGCATTGTAATTTCATAAAAAAATTGCTAAAATACCATGTGTGCTATTCCTTTAAATGGTGCCATATTTTAGTTGTAAAACATGCAATGTTCCCTACACTAACTAGCTGGTTGGTAAAGGATAAGTTCACCTTTTAGAAAAAAGCTGGTGGGTGCCAGCTCTTTTAACAACCAGCTATTCATTTCAAACATTCATTAAATAGCATGTGGCTAGACCATGACTTATTTATATTGTATTATGTATAATATGTGTGTATATATATATATATATATATATATATATATATATATATATATATATTGCGGGAACTCGCTTCTTAATGCTGGAGCTTCTTCCAAGCAGTCAGCAACTCGCTTCTTTTTAAAGGGCCTTTTTGCCCAATTTTATTTACAAGGAAGTTCAAATAACAAAAATGCTTCCCACGCAGGGGTATCCACCATCAAACCAATTCAGCCTTCTGGCTCTTTCAGCTACACAGCTTTATATCTGTCTCCTACAGACTCCTTCCACAAGGTTGTTTTTGCACACAGCAAACCTTTAGCACACAGCTGCTCCTTGCCGCTTTTGGCTTCCACCTCTCCTTGGTGGAGCCCTCCTGACTCCTGTCTTCCTGGTGGAGCCCTCCTGACTCCTGTCTTCCAGGTGGAGCCCTCCTGACTCCTGTCTGCCGGGGTGGAGCCCTCCTGACTCCTATCTGCCGGGGTGGAGCCCAGAATCATGGCCTGGCCCCCACAAAAAGGCCTGCACACACCTGTGCAATCATCGCGCTGGCTGCTCTCAAAATATGGGCCCAGGATTGGAGATTTCATCCCTCCCAAATCTCTTAGAAATCTCCAGGCTACAGGTCCCAAAACAGGCTTTACAAACCAAAGAGGAAACTGATAAGCCAGTTTCCTCTGTATTATGAGAACTGCCTGGAGCCCCTCAACCTGTATGGTTGAGAATCCTGGGTCTCCATCGTGATTTCCAACGTGGCAGGATACCGTACTGCCACTATATATATATATATATATATATATATATATATATACACACATACACCATATGTTTATTTTTTGTGCATTGACTTTCAGAGTAGGGTATTTAAAGCTAAAGATGCCCTAGTCTTGTCCTCCTGAATATTTTTGGTGTGTATCCCCTTATCCTTTAGGAACACCCCCACACACACTGGACACTGATCAAAACCCTCTAAGGCTGGCCAGAGATTACTTTTTCTTTTTCAATCAGCCAATAAACTAAATAGATTCCCCCATCCAAAAACAAAACAAGGTGGATGGAGGAATCTTCTCCACTGTGCCATTGTATTGGAACATCTGAAAGCAGCCGAGCTGATCGACAAATGTTTTCCAACAGTCCTGTTTGACAGAAGTCAATCGTTAGATCGACTTCTGTCATGCAAGACATGCCATTATTATTATTATACAGGATTTATATAGCGCCAACAGTTTGCTCAGCGCTTTACAATATAACGGGAAACAATACAGCAGCAATACACTTCAATACAAGAGGGATAGGAGGGCCCTGCTCCTTGGAGCTTACAATCTAGGGGGCCATAGATAGATCGCTAATCCACCAGGTTTTATTTATGGCCAGCTTTACACTCCATGAAGTGCAGGAATCTCTGCATTGCACAGTGGGGGCTTACCTCTGCTATCACCTACAGCAAAACTAAGGTACTTATTGTGCTAAAGGTTTATGAATCAAGTCTTATACCATGATGACAGGTTTACTGAAGGAACATGGGTGTTCAAGTCAAATAATGGTCACAGCATGATCTAAATATTCTTTGGCATAAGCAGTTTTTTCAACACCTCTCCATCCAAATTTTTTTTTTAAGAAGAGCAGTCTCCTACTTCTGTGCATTCTACAATTTCACCTACACCTCCCCATCCTTGCACAATCTAAACCTGCTCTCTTCATATAGTCTTTCCATTGACCCTCCTTTTATCTCAATCCACTTACCCATTAGCTGTACCCAGTGGTGTATTTAGGTTTTGTGCTGCCCTAGGCAACACAAAATTTGCCCCCACCCCAGAGAGAGCCTGACATTGACCAACAACACCCCTGCCCCCCATCCACCCGAGAGAATCTTCCACTACCATCGCCCCCATACACCGGCCACTCCCTTCCCAACGAGAGAGAAAGACGATCAATTTACACCTGGTTCACACTGATGCGGTGCGGAATTCACAGCGTTTTCTGTGCGAATTCTGCACCGCATCAGAATCGCACCCAGTTCATGCAAACCGCTGTGGGTGTGTTTGTTAAGTTAACAACACCCCGAAAGCGGTCTACAAAACATGGTGCGTTGTGCAGAATCGGATCACATAGGTGTGAATACCCTTGCGATCCGATTCTAGTGTGGAACCAAAAAAGTGTCCTGCGCGTTTTTGGTGCGAGTGCAGTGCGATTAGAGCCATTCAAAATGTATGACTCCAATCGCACCGCACACAAATCGCATGTGATTCACACAGGAATGCGGTGCTGATCCTGTGCGAATCACATGCGATATACCGCACCGCATATATGTGAACCCAGGCTCACAGCTCTGGACATCCCCAGGAATGAGAGTCAAGCAGCCCACAGCCTCTCTCAGATCCTATCTGGTCCCCAAGCCACATGTGTCCCTTCTTCCGTCCCTTCTTCCATGGGGGTGGTGCTGCCCCCCTGAAAAATGGTGCCTTGGCAAATGCCTTGTGGTAAATACGCCCCTGGCTGTACCTGAAGTTTCTTCTGCTCTGGATCTTCTCCATCCCTGTCACTATCATAACTACAATGACAGAAAATAAGATTACCTGTGACAGGGCTATAGGCTCAGATTCTCTACATGACTCTAAAAACAACTCTTTGCACTGTTATTAAAGCATATCAATAGCCAAAAGTTTTTTTCCTTTTTTGGGATAGATTATTGCAAGGAAAGCTCACTACATTTTTTAAGTGTTCTGTCCTCCAGGGAACAAAGTACATGTAGTACTCCGTTACGTGTTCCTTTTGTAAGCCTAGCAATGAGGTGGGACAGGACGACAAGTCTCTTATGTGTAAATCACTTTCACGCTCCAAATTTTACTTTTGAAGGGAACTTCATTTTATGTGGATTTGTACTGTAAAGATCACCCCTCCCTCCTCAGTGTCAGCTACTATACAAAATACATACCTTCAGCTCTGGAAATCATCCTTAACCACAAAGACGTCCTGCAGTATTTCACCTATTCTGCTTTCAGTAAACAGGCTACACCCAAACAATAAAGGTGTGTGTCACATGATCACATGGCCATGCCACTAAGACTCGGGGATTGTTCATGACTGTTCACATTTTCCTGGTCATGTGACACTCTGTGACCATCAGCTACATAAATGTAAAAGAAGACAGACCACAGAGCAGTAACATATTCCAAAACACAAAGGCAAACCTTTCAGATGGGAAGTGGGGATTGATTAGCGCCTCTTTCAGGTGTTTACTGCAATCTGGGGAGCTCTAAAAATCCTATAGGATTTCCAGCCTTTGTTTACTTTAAAAAAGCCCAGATATCAGATGTAAAAACCTAACAATAACC